CTTCTGGTTAGCAGTCAAGTGCCTTAGGCACTATGCTACCAGAGCTCCAATTGACTGTATGGATCATAACAAATTATGGATAACAATGCAAAGACTGGGAATTCCAGAACACTTATCTGTGCTCATGCAGAATGTGTGCACAGACCAAGAGGGAGATGTTCCAAAAGGACAAGAGGATACTGCATGGTTTAAAATCAGGAAAGGTACATGTCAGAGTTGTATCCTTTTACCATACTTATTCAATCTGTAATCCAAGAAGCTGGCTATTAGAAGAAAAATGTAGCATCGGGATTAAAGGAAGGCTCATTAACAACCTACAATAGGGCAGATGACATAACCCTGCTTCTGAAAGCGAAGAAGACCTGAAGCAATTACTGATGAGGATCAAAGACTTCAGCCTTCAGTATAGATTACATACACCTAAACATAAAGAAAACAAAAATCCTCACAATTGGACCAATAAGCAACATCATGATAAATGGAGAAAAGATCAAAGCTATCAAATATTTCATTTTACTTGGATCCACAATCAGCACGCATGGGAGCAACAGTCAAGAAATCAGACATCATACTGCACTGAGCAAAACTACTACAAAGGACCTCTTTAAAGTGTTCAAGAGCAAAGATACCACTTTGAAGACTAAGGTGTGCCTAACCCAAGCCATGGTATTTTCAATAGCCTCATATGCATATGAAAGCTAGACAGAGAATAAGAAAAAACAAAGAGTTGATGCCTTTGAATTATAATGTTGGCAAAGAATACTGAAAATACTGTGGACTGCCAGAAGAAGGAACAAATCTATCCTGGAGTAGCATAGCCAGAAAGCTCCTTGGAAGCAAGAATGGCCAGAGTTTCTCTCACATACTTTTAGTCAAGTTATCAGGAGAGACCATTCCCTGGAGTAGGATATCATGTTTGGTAAAGTAGAAAGTCAGCAAGAAAGAGGAAGCCCCTCAACAACATAGACTGACAGACACAGTGGCTGCAACGATGGGCCAAGCACAGCAAGGACTGTGAGGATAGCACATGGCCTGACCTGGCAGTGGCTTTGTTCTGTTGGACCAAGGGTTGCTATGAGTCAGAGCCAACTCAACGGCACCTAACAACAACAACAAATATATGGTATTAAAAGACTACCAAACATAAGTAAAAATAGACAAACAGAAGAACATAAACTAGAAGACTGACATCTTCTAAAAATTAAATTCTTATGCACATCACAAGACTTCTCCAAAACAGTGAAAAGAGAGCCTACAGATTGGGAAAAAATATTCAGTAATGACATATCTGACAAGAAACTTAGCTCTAGAATTTATAGAAAACTCCAACACCTCAACATCAAAAAAGACAATCTAATTAAAAAATGGGCAGAAGACATAAACGGACACTTCACCAAAGAAGATATTCAGGCGGCCAACAAACACATGAAATGTTCACAATCATTAGCTGTTAGAGAGATGCAAATCCAAATAATGAGATTCCATCTCACCCTAGCAACAATAGCAAAGTTCAACAATACAGAAAATAACCAATGCTGGTGAGGATGTGGAGATTGGGACTTTCATACAATGCTGGTGAGACTGTAAAATAATAAAACCACTGTGGAAAGCAGTATGGTGATTCCTTAAAAATTTGGAAATAGAAATACCATTTGATCCAGCAATCCCATTTCTAGGTACAAAGAAGTGAAAGCCAGGACACGAATAGATATATGCATACCCATGTCCATCGCACTACTCTTCACAATAGCAAAGAGATGGAAACAACTTTCGTGCCCAAAAACAGAGGAATGGATAACGAAACTATGGTACACATATGCAATGGAACACTAGGCAACACTGAAGAATAATACAGAATCCACAAAACACCTCTAACGTGGGTGAATTTGGAGGACACATTGTACTGAGTAAAATAAGTCAATCACAAAAGTTCAAATACTGTGTTGCTGTTAGGTGCTGTTGAGTCAGCTCCAACTCAAAGCAACCCTATAACCCTATGCATAACAGAATGAAACACTGCCCAGTCCTTTCCAGTAATATATCAGACAGTGTTTCACTGCTATCCATAAGGTTTTCACTGGCCAATTCTTTGAGAAGCAGATGGCTCCTTACTTCTGCCAAGTCTGTCTTAGTCTGGAAGCTCTGCTGAAACCTGTCCACCACGGGTGACTCTTCTGGTATGTGAAATACCAGTAGCATAGCCTCCAGCCTCACAGCAACATGCAAGCCACCACAGTATGACAAACTGACAGACAAGTGTATTAGTCCACTACTGTAAAAAGTCAAAGAACGGCTTACATATAGAAGAAAACTTTCTTTGTTTGGTTACCAGGGATGAGAGGGGAGGGGGAGGAAAACTGACAAATAGGTAAGAGACCAGAATTGATTTGGATGACAGGAACAGCAATATATCAAAAGCAAATGATTAACACAGTAACACTAAGGAAAAGGAAGACACAGAGAGGCTCACAAGATGTAGAGACAAGAAAGATAAACAATTTTACATACCTAATACTGTATTAGAGCTCTGGTGGTGTAGTACGTAAGGCACTTAACTGCTAACCAGAAGGCTGGTGGTTCAAACCCACCAGCCACTCCTCAGAAGGAAGGTTGGGCATCTACTTCCATAGTGATACCTCC